CAAACATATCATCATCTTGTAAGTATTTTATTTTTATGAATAATGATTTAAAAAAAAAGACTTTAACTAATATGAAATTTTTTAAACTCTAACGTCAGACATCTTTAATCGATCTATCTGATGACTCTTATTATTTACTCAATTTAAACGAGGTTTGTTTCTTTTATTTTTGTACAATCTGGGGAATGGGAATATACATATATATATATATATAATTCTTTATAATTCTTTTTCTTACATTAATAAAAAATAACATTAAAAAAAACCTATTCGAAACTTCTTTTAGCCACCAAGATTAGATGTCGACGATTCTTTTCGACAAAATGAGTATCATCACTATTATACTGCTTATCATCATCCACATTCCACTGGAGCATATTCAGCATTTTTAAATCACCCAACAACATCCGATACATCAACACGAAATCGACATCATGATCCCTATTTACCATGTAAAGAACTAAAAATCACAAAAATATTATTTTTTCAAATCAGTCAATTTTTTTAGATGCTAATCCTCCATCCGTATCATCATCGACATCATCAAATGATGCTAATATACCACCATTAAATTCGGATTTGAAAGGTGAATGTCTTGATAAAGTTAAAAATGATGCTGAAAATAAACCACCATCAACAACAAATGGTACGTCACAATTAACAACAGAAAAATTAAATGAATTCAATCTTCGACATGATATAACACTAGAGAATGCAACACCATTAACAGTAGCAGTTGGTGGTCCTAATGGAACGCATATTGGTCCAACATCATCTTCATCATCTACAAAATTGCGAAAGTAATTGAAAAAAAATTTTTTTTTTGAAATTAAAAATAAAAATAATTTTTCTGTCAAATAATTTAAGTTCATTAACATTAAGTCCAAATAGTCATATAAATTTATCATGTATGCGTGGTGGACCAGCATCAGAAGGTAGTATTATTGATCCTGATGAAACACCTGAAGAACGTGAACGACGAGAAAAAGATCGAAGAGCAGCAAATAATGCACGAGAAAGGTAGGAAAAAATAAATCCTTTTTTTCTCCAAAGGAACTTGTTTATCTCGTTTTTCCGTAGATTACGTGTAAGAGATATAAATGATGCATTTAAAGAACTCGGTCGTATGTGTTCCATACATATGCGAAATGATAAACCAGTTACTAAACTAGGTATACTTCAACAAGCCGTTAATTTAATAACAACACTTGAACAACAAGTTCGAGGTAAACAAAAAAGAATTTTTGGTCTTTTTTTTTTTAAACAAAAATGAACAAACGATTTTCTTATTTTTATAGAACGTAATTTAAATCCAAAAGCTGCATGTTTACGTCGACGTGCTGAAGAAAAATCTGAAGATCATAATGGAAATATGAATTTAATGACATCGCAAGGTTCAATGTTGTTGCCAACTGAATCTTCATCAATTGATGGACCTAATTTTATGGAACAAATGCATCAATCAATACAACCATCTTATTGGCAACAATAAGTAGAATTGTTCATGTTTTTATGATTTTGCAGCTATGGCTTGCTTATCGGTGCCTTTGTCTTTACCCTTTTTCGTTTCGTCTCATATACATACATACATGACCAATACAACTTTTTTTTTCTTTTTGTTTTTTTAGTATTTACCTGTATTTTTTTTTCTGTAAACATAATGATGATGTGCAACTATAAATGAATATCGAGATAGAACAAGACAGTATTTTTTTTGTGTTTTCTTATTGTGCATATAATACATCTCGTTTTTCTTTCTGTGCAATCTGGTATTGATGAGCCAACAATACATTGTACGATTCTTGTTTTTCATTTCTTTTTTTTTTTGTTATTTGTCAAATGTCTCATATGTTTTGTTCTTCTTTATTGTTGTTGTTGTTGTTGTTAATGCATTATTTTTACTAATTGGGATTGACATTATGTATAAATATCTTAGATTGAATATTTGACTCTTTTGGTTTTTCTTTCTCTTGGTTTTTTTCGGTTTGTACAAAATGTTTCTTTCAATTATGCACGTCTAGTAGAAAATCATGTTTCATTTTTTTCTCTGTTCGTACATATATCTGTTAACAATTTTGCTTGTTTCGTTTTCTTTCTGCTCTTTACTGTTTGACAACTTCTCATCTTTGAATTTTTCTTTGTTTATTTCTCAATTGTCGTGCTTGCTTTTGAGTATTTCCTCTCTTATCCTTATTGCCAAATATACATTAAGAAAAAGTGTACGTTTAAATATATAAGAAAAAAAAACAAAGAATAAGACTCGCTTTTTTTTATTCGTAATAGTCGCAAAGAAATACTACGCAATATGTTATGAAAAGACTTTTCAGCGTTTTTTTTTGTTCTAAAGATTTATTTCAAAATGGAGATGTTAATTGAATTTGGGTTTTTGATTTGAGATATATTGCGTTTATTTGAGAAAGTATATGTTTCATTACATCTTATGTGAATTCACTTTGATGAACAGATAAAAATCGAATTAGATGAATAATTATATAAAAGAAAGATATTGTTAATGTTCTTCATGAATCGTACTAGAATTATAATCACATTGATGTTGAATAAATATGTATTACTTGAAAAAGTTTTGAGGAAACAATTCGCCTTCGTCAGTTCGTTTTTAGTTATACATTAAACTTAAGCACAAAGTTTACTATTTACCTATGTATGCCTTGTTTTCTGTTGTTTACTTTTATTCTTCAATTGTGGACGAGAATCTGTTCCAGTATTAGAAAACAGAAATAGTCAAAACAAAATAGACCGAATTGTAGAGAATCAAATATACGCTCAAGTTTAATGTACAATTAAAAATCAGTCGACGACGAAAATAGAATTTTCTTCAAAAGGGTTTCAATTAATACATATTTATTCAACATAAGTACGATTATAATTTTAATAAAATCCATCAGTGAACTGATAAGAAGAGAGTTTTAGTGAATTATAAGTATTTAGAATTAGATGAAATTTTTATTTTTTTTTCGATAATGTTAAATGCAAACTGAGTGAATTTTGTCTCTTTACTAATCTATTTGTATCAGAATATGAAAACTCAGATGGGCTATAGGTTTTATTAAGGAATCATTATCAATATGGTTGAAATGATAGAATCACATGAATATTGCTTTGGTAATTGAAAATTTATTCATCAACAGATTGGTTTTATCTTTAGTTTGATATAAATGTGTATCTTTTGTCTGTTAAATGATGAGGTATCGAGATTTGGCTACTGTTTTATTCGTTTATCAGAGAGAAAAGTCGCAATGTATCTTGAAAATTTGAGATTTATAATGTAACTGATCAGTGCGAATCTTACATACCTTTAAAAAATTTGTTCTTAAATAATTTCATATGTTCATAATTTTTCGAAAAACACAATCAAAAATGAGAATTTATTCCAGTGATTTTTTAATCTTATGTTAGAAAAATCAAAATAGGAGTTGCTATCAAACTACCACTATAATAAAAAGCAGGTATTTACATCTATTGGTTACTCCATGGTGTTTTTAAAAATTTTTGTTCTCTCTTTTTCATTTTCTTCTGTTAATGATATTTGTTTATCGAGACAATAAATATGTCAACAACAAATTTAAATGGTCTATTTAAAGCAAATTTAAATGTTTAATATCGAATAAAAATATGATTTCCATGTATATCTTGACTAGAATATTATTCGAAAACGAAATTAAGCTTCATCAATACATTAACATAAAATAATTAACGTTTTTTTGCTGTTCGTGTAGGTGATTTTGTTGTCGATTGTCGTTGTCGTTTCTTGTTAGTAGTAGTAGTTGATGATTGTAAATTTCGTCGTGAACCATAATCAAGTATACGTTCAAGTACAAAATGTTCATTCGCAAATTCATCTTTCTTTTTTATTAAAAGCCATTGATTTGCTCGTTGTTTTGATCCAAATCGTGATCGAATCATATAAAATTCACCTTGTAATTTTTTGCCATGAAGTCTAAATGTTAGTTTTCCTTGTTTTATTCCTGAATCAACATCATTATCATTCAAAGATTCATACGTTCCAATATCCCATGTTCGTACTTCACCTATCACAAGAAACAAAAAACAAAGAAACACATGGATATAAATATTTTCACACAAAATACAACCTGCTCCATATTCTCCTTCTGGTATTTTTCCTTCAAAATTCATATAAGGTATTGGATGATCTTCTACCATTATTGCTAGACGTTTATCACGAGGATTAAGACTTGGTCCTTTTGGTATTGACCTGTTTAATGTGATTTATGTGTAATTATTCTTAATTATTTTAAATATTCGTATACCTACCAACTAGAAAAGAATAAATGAAATAGGAAAAAAAAGAAATTTTTGTTATTATTGTATGTTAAATCTACCTTTTCATAACACCATTATATTCAAGTCGAAAATCAAAATGAAGTATTGAAGCATGATGTTCTTGAACAACAAATCGATATTCGTTCGTACTCTTTTCATCATACGCTGGTTTTGGTTCACGAGTCTTTTTAAAATCACGTTTTTCTTCGTATTCTTCAAGTAAATTTTTTGAGGTCATTTTTTCCTGCTATAAAATAAAATAAAAACTTCTTTATAAATCCTAGATTTCTTCAAACACATACATCGAATCGATAAATTGTTAAATGAAAAAGTCTTTTCAATAATAATCTTTCAGTGTATAAATTAATTAATTTCGATAATATCATAAAATATAATCTGGTTGAAAGAAAACAAGAAGGTTTTTATTTTATTATTTTCTAATTTCAATAAAATGTAAAAAAAAAAAAACAACAACAACATCAGGAAACATGATTACAGATTATGATATAAAGGATTAATCTGAGAGAGAGAGATAGAGGAAAAACTCAAAGGTCTAAATAAACAAACAATAAAACGAATTATTTATTTGAATTTCATTTTGTTTTTATCATCACTATGTAATAAAAACAAAAGAAAGTAAAGAAAAAAATATATCTGACATATATACATTAGATTATATTATTATTAAAACTCGATTATCATGCATAAGGATTTGTTTTTTGTCGTGGTTTAATTTTTTCTGATTGTATCCATTGAGCATCTTCATTCATATAATCATCAAAATTGTTAAAAAAATACAATATACGATCATCACGAGTAAATTTATATTCCCTAAAATATGAAAATTATTTATTTATTTATTTATTTTTTATCAAAGAACAAACCATTTACGACAATAACGAAGTTTATGTAAGATAGTAAATTGTTGCCATCGTTTCCAAAAATTAATTGTTTGACTATCTTGTAAACAATCTGTATTACCAATATGAACAAATGTTAAATCAGATAGAATCAATCCACTTAAAAAGATAAAAACAAAAAGGATCATTTTAAAAATATTACTCTATTAATTATATACATATAAGGAATACATGGTTGACCAACGGATGCATTTAATGCTTCGCGATAATTTTTAAACGAACCAGTACTATCAATGAGTCCAGTGTGTTCAGATATAGACTAAATTAAACAGATTCATATTGAGAAAATATACTATCAGAAAATGCTTACTTCGATGATACTCTTCGACCAGTTTAATCGTTTTAATGGACCACAATCAAGAGCTGATAGGATAGCCAAATATGAATTGAAATTATTTAATCGTCGTAAATGCTAAATTTAATAGATCATTTTTAAAATGTAACAATAGAACTTTAAGATTGATTATTATTATTATTATTATTATTTTAGAGTTTCTATTACAAATTTCATTAGTCATTTCAGTGTCATATATATATATATAATATGAAACAAATGGTTGACATGACCAATTCTATACTGCTATTTTGTTCTAGTTTAGTTCTAATATGTTTTATACTATGAAATAATATATCTAGAAGTTTCGATTATGTTACGATGAAATAGACAAGATCAATCTACCCTTTCTAAATACAAATATCAGAGAAAATTAATATGAACTAAAATATCTCATTGATTTTGAATATAGGTTGTTCTCGCAACTATATCAAAAACAGATTTCTAATGTCATCAGTAGAATAAGGGACGTTGATTATTGTAGATTTATTCTACTATCAATTTTCGTATCATGTCATATGCAATTATTGAAAAGAGTTTACTTCCGATCCGTTTCCATTTGATGATATTTTGTTTAGGTCTCTTTCCAGCTAGTTCATGATTTATTAGATTAAAAGAGAATTATAAACGTAATTTGGCTTAAAAGAATTGACGTTTCAGTGATCATTTATAAGATACATATATTGAATACGAAAAACGAACAACATGTAACATGCAATTTACAACTACATAACACCATGCATTTGTACTTCACTATTTAGGCTTATAATTATAAATTTGATACGATGAAATCCGTAAAAACAAACAACTTGATTTTTTCATTGTGTATATATATACATATCACGTGTCTGTATGTCATAAATGTTGATAACTTTTGTAATTATATGGTTATTTTGTCTTATACAAGCTATTCCCTTTTATATTAAATACAATTATGAATCATCGTCATCGATAATATTGGAAGCGCACTGAGAAAACATCAAATGGAATCGTATTGAAAATTTCGTGTTCAAAAGCATAGACTATGGGTTATTTGATCATAGAAAGAATTTTCATTTAAAGAAACATTAGTCAAAATTTAATATTTCTTTTTTATATAAGGTTTTTAATTCTTCTTGAAAATTACCTTTAATATTTTAAGAAATTTTTCAAAATAAATTTCACGTTGTCGTTGAGAATTTTGTTCAAGTATTCGAGATCTTACCCTACAAATATTAAAAAATATATTTATTTTTAATATTTGAATTCATCTATGAATCATTACCAATAAGATATATTATTGAAATGTTCTGTAAATGCAGCTAAATTTGGTGAATATTCTTCACCTTTTTCAATAGACATGTATAAAATTTCTGATAATTGAATTTTAAGAAATAATTCTGAATCAAGTAATGTTAATTGTTCACTTATATCAGTTGAATGAAAATCAAGTAATGTTGCTCGTTTCGATGATATAGAACTTTGTATAAGAACAATATCTTGTTGTGAATTTTCATTATTTATTTGAAATTTATTAAAACGTTCAAGTGATTTTCTTCGTAATAGTTTTCCTAATTGAAGTTCACCATGACGTATGAGATTTGTAACAAAACATGAAATAGATTTCATTAAATTTTCAGTTAATTCATTACTAAATGAAAGAAAGGAAAATTTTTTTCATAAAAAACTAAATAAAATAAATTTTTTTCTTTACTCGATTTCATCGATAACGCGAATAAGTAATGAAAATGCGTATCGAGCGATTCTTTTCTTTGGTTCAAATTGTGAAAAAAATATATAACGTTGAATAAGTTTATCAACTAAATCACTCGGAGATACAAATGTACGATATGTTGTTAAAAATGCTTCTTGATAAACAAAATCTAAAGAAATTTTTTTATTTTATATAAACACAAGCTAATTAATAATATTTAACCTTTTTTATCAGGTGATGTTGCTCGAATAATTAATGCATCTATGGAACCACCACGTAATGAAGGATCTTCGTTCTAATTGAAATATTCAACTACCAAAATATATAAAGCAAAAGAAAAAGAATTATTTTTACCAGATTGAAAACAAGTAAATGAGATATATTTTCAAGAAAAAGTTCGCCATGATAATTGATCTTCAATGTATTATCATAAAAACTAAATGCATTAATTTCTTCATTATCTTTTGACTAGAAGTAAACCAGAATTCATTTCAAAAGAAAAAAAACAAAGAGAACACAAAACGAACTACTAAAATATGTTCTACGGTTCCATTTAATTTATTAACATTTTTATTTGTTGTTCCTTTCATTCTTAATGAATCATCACTATTTGAAAGTATTTGCATATGTTGAAAACGTTGATGAATTTGTTCAAATAAATCTTCAAAACGACGTTGTGGTGTAGGAATAAGACATGTATCACGAAGAAATAATTCAGCTTCATTTTGATCATATCGATCGAATAAGGACATATATGCTCGAGCTAAAATAAAAATAAAATTATATTATTAATTTTACCTGTTTTTGTTCCTATTTTAGAAATTTTATCCTTAGAATAGAGTTTTCAAAATGAATTTATATAGAGATAAAACTTCAAGATCTAATTCTAACCGAAAAATACAATTTCACGACTGCTTTTGCTTTCAATATACACTGAAAATAGTACACTTCTTTTGAATATCATATTGTACCAAAGCATTTGCTCGAACTGAAAAAAATGTCAAAATTATTTCATAGGATTTTCTTATGCAGTTCTGCTTTCTCTGTTACATAGTGATGACATTGTTTTTGATTTGATTTCTCTGCTGACTATGTTCAAAAAGAATTTATTTTGAAACACATAAAAGAATTTTTTTTCCTATAAACCTGTTTTTCGTTTTGGTGGTAATGGTGGTGGATCATTTGTTGTTTTATCATTGTCACATTCATTAAATTGATCTATTCTAGTCATTATTGTTTTTTGTTGTTCATCATCATCATTTGATTTTTGTCGATTAACTAATGTAAATTTTTGTGTTTTAAAATTTCCTTTTGGTGAAAGAACGGAACAATCTGTTTCATTATAAATTTCACATGATTCTTTTTTATCAATCATTCCTTGTCCATTATTAATTGTTGTTTTAGTTATTGTACTTTTCATTATTTTTGATACATTTGTTTCATATAATGTATCAATACTGTGATGATGATAAGGTGATGTTGATATTGATGAGCGATTTTGTTCTGATAAATGATCAATAGATGAAGAACGACTCGTTGTTTTTGTACGTAATGCATCATCTAATTCACGTGTATATTTTTCAACAATTTGATTAATATCATCAACAATTAATTGTATACGTTCATCATTATCTTTATCTTGTTTGGTTTTATTTGATGTTGACGATGATAAAAGAGAACTTGTGCTTCCATTATTTCGAGATCGATTATATAGGATTGTAGCTAATGAATTTACTGGACGTTTATCTCGTTTTGGTGGTAAAGCTGGAGCTAAATCATCCGTAGAACTAACAAAAAAAAAAATCTCTATGTCTATATTTAAAGATTAATAATGATGAAAAAGTTTTTACTCATTAGTCGATTGAAAACTTTGAATTGAATCAGAATGTGTTTCAGCACTTTTCATTGAAGATGTATCACATGCATATGAAATACAATTCTGAAGAAGAAAGAAATACATATATATATATACACGTATGTATATTCAAGGTTTATTGATTCTTACTTTAGTTGCTTGAATAAGATCGACAGCAATTTTTTTATATTCATCATTGTCATTTATATGAATTTTTGTATTATTACTATTATTATATTTTAATAAAAGTAATTTATCAGACCAATCAATTAAATCAGCTAAGAGAGAATAAACATCACTTAGAAGACGTGTTCTGCAAGAAAATAAATATTAATTAAAAAAATTAATTTGATCAAAGAAAAAAAACAATTTTACCTAAATGTTTCTGGTTCATGTTCAAACATTCCTTTTAAAACACTATCAATATCGAATATATTTTCAATTAATGATGTAATAATATTTGGAAGAATTTCAAGTTTATTATGTGTTAAAACTTGATCGAGATAATTTAATGATTTACCTACTTCTTTTTCACTTTTATGTAATCGTTCATAACATGTTGAGGATGACTAATGAAAAAAGAATTATTTATTTATTCTATCTTATAAAGACCAGACATACCGTTAGGGACCCATTACTAATAATAGAATTTCGATCATTTTTTTCCCTTAATCTATTATTGTTTTGTTGACGGTCAACAGAAGAAGAATTTATTGTATCATTTTTACCATTATGTCGATGAACCATATCACCAATAACACGTCGAAGTGAATGTCGAGAAAAAGCCATTGTTCTAGATTTCTATTAAACATTAATCAACACTTGTATCTAACGGAGGAAAAAATAATAGACAATAGACTTACTTATTTAACCTCGAATTTATCCGAGTAATGCTGTCGACAATGCATTGATTTATTGTCAATCGTCACACACATACATATATGCACAGGTCAATGACGTAAACTAGTAGTAGCGAGAGCAAAAAACAACATTGCCTCCCACCAGTATTGATCAGTCATCATCATCGTCATCGTCGTTAGTTCTTCTATCGTCATGTATTCTATTAGTTGTGTAGTAGTTGCATGCGTCAGTTTGCCGATTGGAATCATAGGATAGTATCTATCATTATCTAGAGAAGTGGGTAGTAGCAAGAAGCAGAATAGAAAAATCGAGAAGAGAGAAAAGAAAGACTAACGTATTTTCCCATGTGTTAACATGAAGGAAGAAAAGAAGCAATAAATAAAAGCAATAGCAGCTTCATACTAATTCGTAAGATTAATAGAGAAAAAAAATCATAAAAGATTGACAGTTGTTTTTCGCCTTTGGTTTTAACGCGGGAAGGTTACATTCTTGTCTGTAAATGACTAAACATGATATAATTGACAATGACAGGTCATTACATTATTAGTGAAAAAAACATTAACTGACAATCAATGCGAATATGTCATATAATAATCAATATATACGACCCTCACAAGTCAGTTTCTGTTCTTGAACATCATATAAGAACAAAAGAAAGACGACATGTCCATTTTTCTTTCTTTTCTTTTCTTTTTTTATTAATTAGGAAATCTCATTGAAAGATGATATATATCTTTACTGGGCTTCGGGCAGTATTCCTTGTTGGTAAATATAAAACAATAGAAGATATATTTATTGAATTATCAATATAATTATATTTAAATGCGATTAGGCGAGTACAAATTGCTTTAAGTGAAAAACAAATTATCAATTATAAGCATCAAATGATTTCATTAGATCAAAATGAACATAAAATGAAACCGATTATCGATGAAAATCCACGAGGACAAGTACAAAAACAGAATAAAGATTCATTATTTCACTTCGTTTTTCTTTTGATTTTGCTTGTTTAAATAAGATACCTTCACTTAAAATTGGAAATATTATTTTAAATGAATCTTTAACAATATGTCTTTATCTAGAAGTAGAATCAAAGAAAACTTTCATTTAAAATAAAGTAGATTTTTATGTTGTTTAGGATTTAATAAAAAACCAAGGAACTAAGTTTTTACCTGATGATTTGTACTTAAGAGCACAAGTATTGCAATGTACATTTGATGTACGTTATTTTTATTATAAACTTCATGATATGTATAGTTAATAACTATTTCAATTTCTAGTCACTTCGACTGCAAAAATTTGGTAGTGAAAATGTGATCTATTATATTTGGCATACGCCATCGGAACGACATAATATTGATTTATTGAACAAACGTAAAGGGGTACTAGTAGATGAATTGATTCGATGGAACAATAGATTCAAACAACAAAATCAAGAAAATTTATATGCTGTGGGCAATCAATTTACACTAGCCGACATCTTTCTTTTACCACAATTAGCTTTTCTTGTTCATTGTGGTTATCCGATTCAATTACATCAACAACTTGGTAATAAAAAAAAAATACGTCAAAATCTTAATAAGAAATTGTTCAGAAGTAATGTGTATATATCGGAAAAAATCTTTCTTAAGTTATAGAATTTATATGGAGTAATCAGAAAAAGAAGCATCTAATAAACAGTACTGTTCAAATGAAACGCAGAAATTTTCCTATATTGACTTTTGCAGTAGATTATCAAGAGTATTTATCTGTTTTCAACAGTCGGTATACTGATTGACAGGATTAACACGTGCATATATCACTAGGTAAGGTTGAAGATTGTATCTAATGTACCCAGAGATCCTTCGACAGCAGCGAAATTCATGCTATCCGTTCAGTTTGAAATATGAGCAAAACCTTTTTTTTTTCAAACCTAGTAGGAAACAAGATTAGTATCAATCTTTTACAAGACTAATGTATTTGATACGAAACAGTTGATTGTTTTGATGTCGACATTATAGAAAGAAGTTAGATTTCCACATCAAATTTTGTTTTGAATTAATAAAAATATCAGATGATAGGTATCTTATATGAATATAGGCTACAAATAAATGAAAAAACAACTTCAATTTTGACCAAGACTCATCTTTTATTTCTCAAAATATCGCTCACATTTCTGATTTCTTGAGCATATGACACAGTTTGACAAGTACAGGTTCTGAATAAGATTATAGATGCTAAAATTTAGATAAAAGATACCTTAAATCAAATAATCTCATCATTTTCTTACAATATGAAAAGACTGAATATAAAAAAGCAAAGCATTCCTGTTACAAAGGATGTACTCGAAGTGTTCCCTTGACTTAGGACTCATATTTTGTCTACAAGTAGGTCTCAATGCTAATAGTCAAAGCCTGAGAGGATTCATGTCCATGAGGGCCATTGAAGCTGACTTAAGACTGTTTCACTGGTCTTTTGATTGAAGGCAAGGCATTCATAGAAGAATCGAACGATGGTATTTGACTTGAACTTTTGCTTATAAAGGGGTCTTATGATAATTAGAATGTGCTAAAAATTTCAGCCGAAACGGATGCTTTATCCTTCAGATACTGAATTTTCAAAGGTGATCAATTTCCTGACTTTTCTCTAACGTATGATCGTTTTTCAGCCGTTCAATATCTTAAAGATAAAGCATCTGTTTCGGCTGAAATTTTTAGGACATTCTAATAACCATGAGACTTCGTTATCAGCAAAATTTCATGTCAAAATGCCATCTTTCAGTTTTTTCATGAATGCCTTCCCTTCAATAAAGGCTGCAGTGAAATAGTCATAAGTAGGCTTCAACAGTTCATGGGCCTGAATCCTTTCAGGCTTTGACTATTGTCATTGAGATCTACTTGTGTACAAAATATGAGTCCTAAGTCGAGGGAATACTTCAGGCATCTCCATTGTTAATCTAAATCTCAACTCATGTATAGATTCCTACTATAAACATCTACGTGATCGTCCATCAGTTCATCGATCATTTCCACCTCATTGGTTAACAAATACTTCCAACATATTAGCCGATTGTTCCAATCTTATTCTAAAACAATTATAACTCTAAAAATATCATCTTCAAAAAAAAAATTCTAAATAAAATTTTAAATAATTCTATATACATATTATTGGACCCATATATATTCAAATGATTCAATTAATCGTATGTCATCAAATATTGTTCGTCATATATAAATATTTTTCATATATAACTTGTGCATTTCTAAATATCATATTTTTTTTAAATAGTGCATCATATTTATCAACAGGTATTTGTTCATGAATTAAGTTGATATTTGAACAGTAGATAACAATGAAGAAATTCACTAAACAATTCTCTACATCTATAGAAATATATGTTAGCCTTTTAGAAAAAAATATTCGTAATAACATACTTGTTTAAGATCTAAAGTTTTAATTGGAAAAGTTAATAGAAACATGTGAACACTTTTTGGTTGATAATTGATAAACACTTGATGATTACTCTGTTACTTATAACAATCTATTGAAATATATCAATTAAAACATAAAAGAACATTATTTCTTATTACATTGGATGTGCTTGTAATTATTCATTGAAACCCGTTTGTTTATATAGCCCTACTCTAATCAAATAAATAAAATCATTAATACAAAAAAGAAATCCTTTTTAGTGGAGTTTCATCGGAATAATATCGAAGAATATTATGATTATTACCAGACAAGTTAATAATCAAAGATTATACTGATCTATTGTTCATAGAATAGAATTGTTAACAAGATTATCGAAGAAGAATTCATAATTTCGCAAAATTTATCGCAAGAATATCTTCAATATAGAAAAATATTATATTTAATACTTTCCTCTTCATTATTGTATTGATTGATTGAATATGCATGGATACAATCAGTTTTATAACAATTGATGCCATTTTCATTCTTCAATATAAATTCAAGTGATAAATTAGATATTTTCGAGTGTGAAAAACAACATGATTGAACTGATAATGAAAATTTTCAATAAAAATATTTACGGATTTCGTATATACTATTAACTATCTGTGTTACAGATATGATGAATTATTTATCGAACAACGAATGATACGAGAGTTTTTGAACAAAATATTTATTTATATTTGATCCACTTGAAGTCACTCTAGATGAATGAAGAACTATGTATTAGAATTAAAATTTTATGCTATTTTCATAGTTTCACCATGATAGAATTCAAAACCTAAATGTTAAAACTTTTATTTATACATCAACTTCTGAAAGAAAATCTGCCTTAGGAAAAATACTATTTGAGTTCCTTATTATGATTGCATAAAGCACCTAAAGTGTTATTTTTCCATATTACCCTCATTTTTTATGAAAGAGTTTTTACAAAGAAAATATCTCTGGAGAAAATCTTTATTGTTTCACTTGAGTAAGAGCGAAGATTTAGTTTCATACTACATTTTTCGAGGGAATATTCACTTGATGAAATTTCAGAGACCGATAGATTTTAGCATTTTCTCAAAAGAAATTACAAGGCTAGCAAAAATCTGTATGGTTATCTTCTAAATTATGTTTTTAGGTCTTTTAGAGATGTTTTCACAAATTTCAATTGAAATTTTCTGAGTCCTTATTCAGAATGAACACAAAACTTTTGTTCTAATCGGTACTGTTTCATTCATATAGAGTACCTTCAAGTGGATCAAAAATGAACAAACATTTTTTTTGTTCAGGAATTTTCACATTATCTATTAGGAAGAGTAACTTTGCCATTCGGTTACTTTGCGGTATGGAGTGCTGCCTAGTGACAGATTCAATAACTCGATGTCTTTTCTACAATTAATAATAATTACACTCTTGACAGAAGACCGACCGAGTGCAGACTTCTTGCGCGCGATGGTTTAAGCTTCTCATACATACTAACCATATACTAGCCACAAGAGTATGTGAATGTCACAACGTAGCCAGCACGCTATCGGATGAGCGATCCAAGACAAACACACGTTAGTGACACGTCTAGAGCCATTTTATATCTGGTAGTGCCAATGTTTGAACATACCCAGGACAAAAAATCTGACAGTAAGTCTTGTACGATCATATGAAATCGTACAAGATCATATATGATCAGACGTAGAATCTTGTCCGATTGTTCGCCCTGGGTGGCGGTATATAAATGGATGTCAGACTATGTGACCAGACAGCCATCGCGATCAACTGCCTATTAATAACAGAATGCCAAAGAATTAATAGAAATTTTTTAATTATTGTTCATATACCCATCCTAACGATAGAAGAATCTGAGCCTTCTATTATGTCCAAGTGTACCAATTTTTCATGAGGTCTTCTTTTGCTGGAAGGGGTTTAATAATATTAGTTTCCTACTAATATTGACCTCAAGAACTTTCATCTTCCACCATCGTATGTTTGCTTACAAGAAAGAGACTTACGTGTGAGATTCAAGATATTTTGAATTTTTATTAAATTACAGATTGAAAATGGATTCATAATCTATTATGTCGAAACGATAGTCAGAGACTTTAAATTACTGTATAGTTAAAATTTTTCTAGGTCACTCAAGATTTGTTAGTAATTCTTAATATGTTACTAATGTTAGTGACAAGAAAAAACAATCTCTCCTAATATTTTATTTCAAAAAAAAAAACATATAACAGATTTTCTAACAGCTTGTCTTAGTTATTTTCTTTTTACAAATATAATCTCTTGTTTAAAATGCTTTATGTTGTTTGTTCAGAACATTAGACTAAAATATAATTTAATCGTTCTAAACCTTCAGCTTACTTATATTTTACATTGTTTTGTCATATTCAATAAAATTTGAAGAAAGTATTGATTGATTATGATCAATTATTTTTGATTGAACAACAAAATCATTTTGATTATCATCAAGACCATAACGAGTAAAATGTTTAACCTAAAAACAAAAAGGAAAATCTATATTTAAAATTCTATTAAATTTTCTTTTTTTTACTGTAAATGTCCAAGATCCATCATGAATTCCATAATTAATAAATTCTCCATCAAATTTTTTAGTTATTGTACGTAAATAATTATCATAATTCAATGCTTTTATCCGTTCAATATCAGTGATTTCTTGACGTGTACTACGATCAATCGGATAAACACCAAGTAATGTTATACGAGCTGGAAGATTTAATTCTTCACCAACTAATGGTTTATTATTATCATCTGGATACACAATAAGTTCATGATGATTGATTTCAACTAGAATAAAATAATATGTATTTTAATCAATATATATTTTAATTTTTATCACTTACGTATTTCATCTAGATTAAGTCCAGCAACATTAATTTGACCGTAAAACGTTACTGAACCATATTTTTCATGTCCAACAGTAAAATTTGGAAGGATACACTCACCATTATCATTAAATAAAGATTTTAATTCAGATATATTTGGTTTCATATAATAACTATTACGTGTTAAAATTGGTAAATGACAACTTTGAGAAGTTTGTTTTGATTTACATTGAATTATTGGTGACGATGAATTTTGACAAACAATAGATGAATTAGAATGATGATTTGGTGATATATCACGATTTTCATCTATAATATTAATGAAAAAGAAATTAATGTTCATGTTATATGATTAGATAGACTTACTTGCTGAATATGATATTCTTTGATTATTAACTGTTGTTGTTGTTGGAGAAGTTGATGACGATGTTATATTAATTAAGTTTTCAAGTTCAGCTACACGTCTTGAAGGATAAAGTGAACGAATAGAATTAGATTGATATAATGGATCAATAATAGTATTTGATAAACGTAATTTCGACATTTTAGTTCGACCAATTAAAACAAGTTCTTCTTCATCAGTAAAATTTCCTTTTAATGTACTTTTCATTTGTCCAGTTGATATTGTTGATTGTTGATTAGATGATTTTATAGTATCATTTAGTGCTGGTGATGATGAAACAGGTTTTAATTTAAAATTAACATCAACTAATGAATGAGATGATGATCCTTTTCGAAAATTTGTTTGTATTGGAGGTGTATCCGACATTGATATTGATGTTGTTACTGTTTGTGTAGTGGTTGTTGTTGATAAAGTTGAAACTACAGCAGGTTCTTTAGGTATTTGGATTTGATCAGTATTAGGAAAATCTTTTTTTCCACGATTAGCATATGGATCAAGAAGTGATGCAACAAGAAATTGCTGTTGAATTCTTGAACCTGATTGTTCAATAATTTGTTCCTGTTTTTCTACTTGAGATACTATTATTGACGAAGGTGATGTCACAGTTGGTTGATTTTGTGTTACAGGTAAGCTTGTTAACAATGGAGGATTCAAAGTGGATGTAGTTGTCGTTACTGGTGTATTAATTTGAAAACTCCTTGTTGGATTTGACGTTCCAAAAACCTTCATTGTCGATACTGTATTTGTATCAGGTGCCAACAGAGTTGTTGATGTGCCTGGTGTAGCAAGTTTGATAGAACTTATTGTGCCAAATGGACTTGGATTTGTTGTTGGTCCAAATGGAGCGGGATTTGTT